TTCCTTGCAAGGAACCTTATAAATGCAGCCACCTGGATTGTTGGGGGAGTTCTTGATTAACATTTGTTTAACAGTGCATGAGTTTTTAAATGCCACATTGACGTCCCAGGTTATTTGTTGTAAAGGAATTTGAGGGTAATTTTTGTGAAATGGTAATACGCAGTTCAGTTCTGGTCACCGTACTAAAGAATGGATTTAGATTCCCTAGAAAGAATTCAGAGGAGAATGATATATATATATATATATATATATATATATATATATATATATATATATATATATATATATATATATATATATATATATATATATATATATATATATATATATATATATATTAGTTCTGGAATTAATAAGTGGCACGCCTGAAGTAAACACTTTGTTGGTTTTTCTTTATTGTAGAAAAATATAGTTCTACATTTCCTTAGTTCAGTTGAGAATATATTATACTTTCTCTACTACGGGAAATGTCTTATTGTACGTACACAGGAGAACGCTTAAGTGAGGTGTTCTCTGGGTAACAAAAATAAGAGTCTGATCTCTTAACCAAGAGTGAGAGGGAGGAGCAGGCCTAAGGAGTGTGAGAAAGAAAACACGTCATATATCCTGTTGTGCTAACATGAGCTGACCTCAGCCTGCCCTCGCTTGCTCCCCGAAGGAACTGCAACCTCAGCCATGAATAACGTCAGCAGCTGAGGCACAATTGAACAACTTGGTGAATACTTTGGTATTATACACTTGGGTAACTATTTAATATAATATAAATGATGCTGTTACACACACACACACACACATATATATATATATATATATATATATATATATATATATATATATATATATATATATATATATATATATATATATATATATATATATATATATATATATATATATATATATATATACTTATGTAACCGGTCGGAATTTTCTGGACTTTAATTTCTCACTTGACTTGGGGTTTATTAAAGATTGTTAGATGGTAATTGCAGTGGAAGCGCCCCTTTGAGAAAAATCCCGAACCAGCACAAGAACACTTAAATCTACTAAACAAAATGACTTGTCCGTGACCCATGGAAGGATAGCGTCTGTGACTGGGATGAATGAGACACACTGTAAAATTTAGACACTTATATTCCCTCCAACACTACAAACACTTTCAAATAATGGTACACCAATATGCCCACCTCTTAACTTGAACTTAAAACACTACTCTGGGGAATAAAAGTTATACATGATATTGAAATTATTAGAATTCAGGCAACAATAAATTTAAAGTATTAAGGAATGTTGCTTGCACACATGAAACAGGCCTTAAGGGCTTTCAACAAAATTATATCACCCCAACAGATGCACAATTCCTAACCTAACTTAAACACTACTCTGGGGAACAAAGGTTATACCTGAGATCGGAATTACAAAGAAAAATTAAATGTATTAAAAGAATTAAATCACAGTATCACTCTGGTTCCGCTTAGTGACACAAACATTCAAAAAACAATACTATCAAAATTATTTAAGAAATATTAAACCACACACGTCAAGATAACATCAGTAACTGAGAAATGGTATTAATTACACACAAATATAGTCACTATTATTGATATGTTACTGGGTCCACCAATACTCGTGAACCATGCTCCACCCAGCTCAACATACACCCGTAATAAGGGAGATAAAATGTTCCTCTAGGTATCTCCTAGACTCATGGTCTCAGTGTGTGACCATTAATTTACTCAGATAGCCTCAGTGTACTCCCAGTGCGTCCATGGGCAGGAAGAGAGAACGCCAGCAGGTGCCTATGGCCAGTAGGTAACACTTCTAGCTGACCGAGGACACGTGGTGTTGTGCACCCACGTGGTAAGAACTGATCACCCACTGCTGATGCTGGTCCCGTGTTGTTTTAGTTGTCGGGAGCACTCGTTCACTCAAGAGATCCTTTGCTACCCCGCTAACCAGTGACAAGCCTACACTGATCGTTCCGAAGGCGACAATCGCCAAGCCTCAATCATCAACGGCAGTCTCAAACGGCAGTCAGTCTCTCGCAGCCAACTTCTCGCAGTCAAACTCGCGGTCAAGTGGGTTCTGACGGAAACCCTGAAATGAACTCACTGTTAGCTCTTGTTAACTTTGCCACTGCCCTATCTAACCCTGTCTGAGATCGAATGAGACTTACTTGTTATACTGCAATAGTGCAACACAGGTGACTAGACCACGTGACTATTTCTGTGACGGACGCACAGGGACGTCTTGTTTGTCTGAATGCTTCCCCGTGACTGAGAGAGAGCCCGCCTCGTGTCCTCTCAAGGCGTTAGCTTAGGCCTACGTGACATATTTTCCGCCTAACTAATAACTCCTTGGGACACCCGTAACATTATTCAGACTGATAAACGATCTATAATAATTTCAAATTCAATAATAGTCCCTTAACTTCATGAATCGCATCATTTTTAATTCGGCAAATTACATTTAATATCACTGAGGTCCAGTTCCACAATCTCTCGCTATGTGCAGGGAGCGCTCTCTTCCCTACGACGACCTTGAAAGCTCAGTATCGCCAATGGCGCGGTGTTTGAAATTACACTGAAATTTCTGAATATTACATATATATTGATAAAATCACACGGGAAAAGGGAAACAACAGAGCACCTTAGCTTTGAAGATGTCTTGAATAAAGACGAAAGCTAAGGGGCTCCGTTGTTTCCCTTTTCCCGTATGATTTTATCAAGATATATCTTATCCACGTTTTCATTGTGGATCTACATGAAATATATATATATATATATATATATATATATATATATATATATATATATATATATATATATATATATATATATATATATATAACGACCTCACCAGCCAGGAATCGATTCCTCGACTCGAGGTTCGATTCCTGGCTGAAATAGTCGTGGATATATTCAAGTTTAAAAATGAAGTATATATATATATATATATATATATATATATATATATATATATATATATATATATATATATATATATATATATATATACTGTATAATCAACAATTTCACCAGCCAGGACTCGAACCCTTGACCTTATACGTGTGGCCAGGGATTGCTACCAACCGCGCCACAAGGACACCAAAAGCAATCCTAGACTTTGTTATATTTCACACAAAGCATGTTCATCGTGCTACTCCGACCACATAAGTGGCACGGGCAATCCCCAATTGGAGGTTCACTGTGCCATAAGGTGAGAAGGTTGGGTCATCTTACCCTCTGACCTGACTACCGACTGCTGCGGTGCTTTTGAAGATTAGTAGGGTCACTATCTAGTGACCGGACCATTGTGGACTTGATCTCACCCTCCTCTACTATATATATAAGCCTTGTTATGTATTTCTCCTTAGTGTGTATTCACCCCTGAAGATGTGAATTACACGAAAGCGCTTGGGAACTTCGTGTTTTCTTTTTTCCTCGTGGTTATCAGCCAATATATTACACATCGCCAATATTTTACATTGTCTTTCCGTTTATCAACGATGTAGGCGTAGCCGTCAAGCAAAAGACTTCTTCCTCCTCTTGTCGTTGGTATGAATTCCATGGTCTTAAAAGAAACAAATATTAAAAAAAAAATGTTTATCATGCAAATGTATCACATTGAAATTATGTTATCGTTTTATCCCTTGTTTTATAAAGCAAATACATTGCAAAGAAGCATTTATATTACAATAAATATCTTTTATCCTTTAGTAAATATGCAAAAAAGACATTGCAAAGAAAGAAAAATACAAAATAATTTAAAAAGGCCTTATGTCCATTCGGGCAAATGTCCGTTCGGCCATTTGTCCGTTCGGTCTATTGTCCGTTCGGCCAAATGTCCGTCGGCTCGATGTCCGTTCGGTCAAATGTCCGTCGGTGAAACGTCCGTCGGCCGAATGTCCTTCGGCCATCTGTCCGGCCATGCATAAATCAGTCTTTGCCATATAAAACCCTTTTCATTAGGTCGTTTAGAATATTAAATATTGTGTTTGCTTGCCCTATTCTTGTTTTGATTTATTCTGCACATCTACCACCACAGCTAATGTTAGTTCCCAAATACCACACACAATTTTCTACTTGTTTTAGTTCCCAGTTGACCACAGTACTATACTTTTTTGTTTTTTAGGACTTATTTCCAATTTGGAAACAACCATTACTTTAGTCTTCACAGCACAACCCCCTAACCCATATTTTCACCTTTTGCTACTAATCTGGTAACGAGTTTTTGAAATGTCTTTTTGCTATCTGTGATAAGAGTATCATCTGTATAGCTTATATTTGATATTATATTACCATTAACTTTAGTCCTTCATAATCACTTATAACTTCTCTCCTTTAGAATTCTGAATATATATTATACATTGAAGGAAAAGAGCACAGCCTTGTCCTACTCCCTGTCTAACTTTGCACCAATTATTAAATTCATTATTTACTAACGCAGCAGCTTCCTTTTGTCAGTAAAGATTCTTTAAAAATCTAATATCTTCTTCATTAATTCTTATTTTTTCCCAAGAGCTCTATAAGTTCATTACTTACAATTAAGTTTAAGGAAACTTTGCAAGGCTGACTTATTGCTCTAAAATGGGTGCACTCTAAGGCTCCTGCGTTTTTAGGTTCTAATACAAATACTATTTTTTTTAATTATTGGGAAGGTCTCCTTTGAACTATATAGAATTACATATTTCAGTAAAACTTTTTATCCCATTCTTGCCTATTTGTTTCGTAAATTCTGCTGGAACTGATCAACCCCACATGCCTTATCATTTTTTATTTTGCTCACAGCTGCCTTAACTTCTGTTTCCAAAATTGACAGTTTAATCTTCAAATCCATTTCGTTTCTTACCTCTACTCTATCCTTATAATTGCGTAGTTCTTCTACATACTCTCTAGGTCTTTAATAGTCCCACTCCATTTTTTTTTCGTGGAATAATAAGGAATTATTATTTGTGTACGTCACTAACACGGCTCATTATCCCTTACGGTCGTGTATAGGTGGAGACGGACGGTTCAGAGGAAGCAAACGAGAAAGGTTGGTTGCCTTATGGTTACTTTTGGATCCCACCAAAGGCTGCCGCTCATTACCTGCGGGAGACTCTCTCTTCTACCGACCTATACACCAGAACCAGGATAGCCATGTATCTCAAGGTAATATTTCTTAACAGTCTAAGCATAGAGCTCTAGAATGTAGAGTGGTGGAGTACTATACTGTAGAGTGCGGAGCACTATAATGTAGAGTGGTGGAGCACTATAATGTAGAGTGGTAGAGCTCTAGAATGTAGACTGGTAGAGTACTATAATATAGAGTGTGGAGCACTATAATGTAGAGTGGATACAGCACTATAATTTAGAGTGGTGGAGCACTATAATATAGAGTGTTGGAGCACTATAATGTAGAGTGGTGGAGCACTATAATGTAGAGTAGTAGGGCTCCAGAATATAGAGTGGTAGAGTACTATAAAGTAGAGTGTGGAGCACTATAATGTAGAGTGGGTAGAGCTCTATAATGTAGAGTGGTGGAGCACTATAATGCAGAGTGGTGGAGCACTATAATGTAGAGTGGTGGAGCACAATTATGTAGAGTGGTGAAGCACTATAATGTAGAGTGATGGAGTACTATAATGTAGAGTGTGGAGCACTAGAATGTAGAGTGGTGGAGTACTATAATGTAGAGTGGTGGAGCATTATAATGTAGAGTGGTAGAGAACTGTAAAGTTGAGTGGTAGAGAACTGTAATGTAAATGTAGAGGGGTAGAGCACTTTGATGTAGAGGGGTGGAGCACTATAATGTAGAGTGGTAGGGCTCTAGAATGTAGAGAGGTGGAGCACTATAATGTAGAGTGGTGGAGCACTATAATGTAGAGTGGTAGGGCTCTAGAATGTAGAGTGGTGGAGCACTATAATGTAGAGTGGTGGAGCACTATAATGTAGAGTGGGAGAGCACAATACTGCAGAGTGGTGGATCACTATAATGCAGAGTGGTGGAGCACTATAATGTAGAGTGGTGGAACACAATTATGTAGAGTTGGTGAAGCACTATAATGTAGAGTGGAGGAGTACTATAATGTAGAGTGTGGAGCACTAGAATGTAGAGTGGTGGAGCACTAGAATGTAGAGTGGTGGAGCACTATAATGCAGAGTGGTAGAGTACTATAATATAGAGTGTAGAGCACTATAATGTAGAGTGGGTAGAGCTCTAGAATGTAGAGTGGTGGAGTACTATAATGTAGAGTGGTGGAACATTATAATGTAGAGTGGTAGAGAACTGTAAAGTAGAGTGGTAGAGAACTGTAATGTAGAGGGGTAGAGCACTTTAATGTAGAGGGGTGGAGCACTATAATGTAGAGTGGTAGGGCCGTAGAATGTAGAGGGGTGGAGCACTATAATGTAGAGTGGTGAAGCACTATAATGTAGAGTGGTGGAGCACTATAATGTGGAGTGGTGGAGCACAATAATGTAGAGTGGTGGAGCACTATAATGTAGAGTGGTGGAGTACGATAATGTAGAGTGGTAGAGCACTATAATGTAGAGTGGATAGAGCTCTAGAATGTTGAGTGGTGGAGCACTATAATGTAGAGTGGTAGAGAACTGTAATGTAGAGTGGTGGAGCACTATAATGTAGAGTGGTGGAGCACTATAATGTAGAGTGGTGGAGTACTATAATGTAGAGTGGTGAAGCACTATAATGTAGAGTGGTAGAGCCCTATAATGTGGAGGGGTAGAGAACTGTAATGTAGAGGGGTAGAGAACGGTAATGTAGAGGGGTAGAGAACTGTAATGTAGAGGGGTAGAAAACCATAATGTAGAGTGGTAGAGCCCTATAATGTAGAGGGGTAGAGCACAATAATGTAGAGTGGTAGTGAACTGTAACATAGAGGGGTAAAGAACTGTAATGTTGAGTGGTAGAGAAGAGCACTATAAAGAAGACGGGTAGAGAACTGTAATGTAGAGGGACAGAGAACTGTAATGTAGAGGGTGGACCACTACAATGTAGAGTGGTAGAACACTATAATGTAGAGTGGTAGGAACTGCGTAGAGTGATAGAGAACTGTAATGTAGAGTGGTAGAGCATATAATGTAGAGGGGTGGAGCACTATAATGTAGAGGGGTGGAGAACTGTAATGTAGTGGGTAAAGAACTGCAATGTAGAGTGGTCGAGAATTGTAATTGTAGAGTGGTGGAGCACTATAATGTAGAGGGGTGGGGCACTACAATGTAGACGGGTAAAGAACTGTAATGTAGAGGGGTAGAGCACTATAATGTAGAGTGGTAGAGCACTATAATGTAGAGTGGGTAGAGAAGCACTGTATAGTGGTAGAGCTGTAATGTTGAGGGGCGGATGGTGGAGACTATAATATAGAGGGGTAGAGCTGTAATGTAGAGGGTAGTAGTAGAGACTATAATGTAGAGGGGTGTAATGTAGAACTGTAGATGTAGAGTGGTAGAGCACACTATAATGTAAAGGGGTGGAGCAATACAATGTAGACGGGTAAAGAACTGTAATCTAGAGGTGTAGAGCACAATATTGTAGAGTGGTAGAGCACTATAATGTAGAGTGGTAGAGCAATATAATGTAGAGTGGTGTAGCAGTATAATGTAGAGTGGTAGAGCAATATAATGTAGAGTGGTGTAGCAGTATAATGTAGAGTGGTAGAGCAATATAATGTATAGCAGTATAATGTCGAGTGGTAGAGCACTATAATGTAGAGAGGTGGAGCACTATAATGTTGAGGGGTAGAGAACTGTAATGTTGGGGGGCGGATGTTGGTGCACTATAATATAGAGGGGTAGAGCACTATAATGTAGAGTTGTAGAGCACTATAATATAGAGGGGTAGAGCACTGTAATGTAGAGTGGTAGAGCACTATAATGTAGAGTGTTGAGTGGTAGAGCACTATAATGTAGAGTGGTAGAGCACTATAATGTAGAGTGGTAGAGCACTATAATATAGAGTGGTGGAGGACTATAATGTAGAGGGGTAGAGCACTGTAATGTAGAGGCCGGATGGAGAAACACTATAATGTAAAGGGGTAGAAAACTTTAATGTAGAGTAGTTGAGCACTATAATGTAGAGTGGTGGAGCACTATAATGTAGAGTGGTAGAGCATTTTAATGTAGAGGGGTGGAGCACTATAAAGTAGAGGGGTGGAGCACTATAATGTAGTGTGGTAAAGAACTGCAATGTAGAGTGGTCGAGAATTGTAATTGTAGAGTGGTGGAGCACTATAATGTAGAGGGGTGGGGCACTACAATGTAGACGGGTAAAGAACTGTAATGTAGAGGGGTAGAGCACTATAATGTAGAGGGGTGGAGCACTATAATGTATAGTGGTAGGGCTTTAGAATGTAGAGTGGTGGAGCACTATAATGTAGAGTGGTAGAGCACTATAATGTAAAGTGGTGGAGCACTATGATGTAGAGTGGTGGAGCACTATAATGTAGAGGGGTAGAGCTGTAATGTTGAGGGGCGGATGGTGGAGCACTATAATATAGAGGGGTAGAGCACTATAATGTATAGGTGTAGAGAACTGTAATGTAGAGGGATAGAGAACTGTAATATTGAGGGGTAGAGAACTGTAATGTTGAGGGGTAGAGAACTGTAATGTAGAGTGGTAGAGCACTATAATGTAAAGGGGTGGAGCAATACAATGTAGACGGGTAAAGAACTGTAATCTAGAGGTGTAGAGCACAATATTGGAGAGGGGTGGAGCACTATAATGTAGAGTGGTAGAGCAATATAAGGTAGAGTGGTGTAGCAGTATAATGTCGAGTGGAAGAGCACTATAATGTAGAGAGGTGGAGCACTATAACGTTGAGGGGTAGAGAACTGTAATGTTGAGGGGCGGATGTTGGTGCACTATAATATAGAGGGGTAGAGCACTATAATGTAGAATAGTAGAGCACTATAATGTAGAGTGGTAGAGCACTATAATGTAGAGTGGTAGAGCACTATAATATAGAGTGGTGGAGGACTATAATGTAGAGGGGTAGAGAACTGTAATGTAGAGGCCGGATGGAGAAGCACTATAATGTAAAGGGGTAGAAAACTTTAATGTAGAGTAGTTGAGCACTATAATGTAGAGTGGTGGAGCACTATAATGTAGAGTGGTAGAGCATTTTAATGTAGAGGGGTGGAGCACTATAAAGTAGAGGGGTGGAGCACTATAATGTAGTGTGGTAAAGAACTGCAATGTAGAGTGGTCGAGAATTGTAATTGTAGAGTGGTGGAGCACTATAATGTAGAGGGGTGGGGCACTACAATGTAGACGGGTAAAGAACTGTAATGTAGAGGGGTAGAGCACTATAATGTAGAGTGGTGGAGCACTATAATGTAGAGTGGTGGAGCACTATAATGTAGAGGGGTGGAGCACTATAATGTATAGTGGTAGAGCTGTAATGTTGAGGGGCGGATGGTGGAGCACTATAATATAGAGGGGTAGAGCACTATAATGTATAGGTGTAGAGAACTGTAATGTAGAGGGATAGAGAACTGTAATGTAGAGGGGTAGAGAACTGTAATGTAGAGGGGTAGAGAACTGTAATGTAGAGTGGTAGAGCACTATAATGTAAAGGGGTGGAGCAATACAATGTAGACGGGTAAAGAACTGTAATCTAGAGGTGTAGAGCACAATATTGTAGAGGGGTGGAGCACTATAATGTAGAGTGGTAGAGCAATATAAGGTAGAGTGGTGTAGCAGTATAATGTAGAGTGGTAGAGCAATATAATGTAGAGTGGTGTAGCAGTATAATGTAGAGTGGTAGAGCAATATAATGTAGAGTGGTGTAGCAGTATAATGTCGAGTGGTAGAGCACTATAATGTAGAGAGGTGGAGCACTATAACGTTGAGGGGTAGAGAACTGTAATGTTGGGGGGCGGATGTTGGTGCACTATAATATAGAGGGGTAGAGCACTATAATGTAGAGTTGTAGAGCACTATAATATAGAGGGATAGAGCACTATAATTTAGAGGGGTAGGGCACTATAATGTAGCGGGGTAGAGAACTGTAATGTTGAGTGGTAGAGCACTATAATGTAGAGTGGTAGAGCACTATAATGTAGAGTGGTAGTAAACTATAATGTAGAGTGGTAGAGAACTGTAATGTAGAGTGGTAGAGAACTGTAATGTAGAGGGGTAGAGCACTATAATGGAGTGGTAGAGCACTATATTGTAGAGGGGTAGAGAACTGTAATGTAGAGTGGTAGAGCACTATAAGGTAGAGTGGTAGAGCACCATAGTGTAGAGTGGTGGAGCACTAAAATGTAGAGTTATAGAGCACTATAATATAGAGTGGTAGAGCAATATAATGTAGTGGTAGAGCACTATAATGTAGATTGGTAGAGAACTGAAATGTAGAGGGATGGAGCACTTTAATGTAGAGGGGTGAAGCACTATAATGTTGAGGGGTAGAGAACTGTAATGTCGAGTGGTAGAGCACTATAAAGTAGATGTGTAGAGCACTATAATGTTGACTTGTAGAGCACCATGATGTAGAGGGGTAGAGAACTGTAATGAAGAGGGTTGGAGCACTATAATGTAGTGTAGTAGAAATTTGTAATGTAGAGCGGTCGAGAACTGTAATGTAGAGTGGTGGAGCACTATAACGTAGAGGGGTGGAGCACTATAATGTAGAGTGGTAGAGCACTATAATGTAGAGTGGTAGAGCACTATAATGTAGAGTGGTGGAGCACTATAACGTAGAGGGGTAGAGAACTGTAATGTTGAGGGGCGGGTGGTGGAGCTCTATAATGTAGAGTGGTAGAACACTATAATGTAGAGTGGTGGGTCACTATAATGTAGAGGGGTAGAGCACTATAATGTAGAGGAGTGGAACACTATAATGTAGAGTAGCAGAGCACTATAATGTTGAGTGGTAGAACACTATAATGTAGAGTGGTAGAGCACTATAATGTAGAGGGGTAGAGAGCTATAATGTAGACGTGTAGAGCCCTATAATGTAGAGGAGTGGAACACTATACTGTAGAGTGGCAGAGCACTATAATGTTGAGTGGTAGAGCACTGTAATGTAGAGTGGTAGAGCACTATAATTTAGAGTTGTGGAGCACTATAATGTAGAGTGGTAGAGCACTATTATGTAGAGGTGTTAGAAAACTGTAATGTAGAGTGGTAGAGCCCTATAATGTAGAGGGGTAGAGAACTATAAGAAGAGTGAGGGGGGGCAGAGCATTATGGTGTGGAGGGAAGTGAGGGGAGTGGCACGGCAATATAGTGTGGAGAGGAGTGTGTGGAGTGACCAAGCATTATGGTGTGGAGAGGAGTATGTGGAGTGGCAAAGCATTATGGAGTGGAGAGGAGTGTGTGGAGTGACCGAGCATTATAAAGTGGAGAGGACTGTGAAGAGTGACAGAGCATTATGGTGTGGAGAGGAGTGTGTGGAGTGGCAGAGCATTATGGTATGGAGAGGAACGTGGCGACTGACAGAGCATTGTGGCATGGAGAGTAGTTTGTGGAGTGGTAGAATATTATGGCGTAAGGAATGTGGAGTGGCAAAACATTATGGTGCGTCGAGTGACAGAGGATTATGGTGTGGAGAGGAGTGTGGGTGGCAGAGGATTATGTTTTGGAGGAGTGTGGGGAGTGGCAAAGCATTATGGTTTGGAGTGGCAGAACATTATGATGTAAAGAGGCGTATGGAGTATGGTGTATGCAGTATAGATTAATTTCATGATATCCCGTATGTATGTTTGGTTTAGTGCACCTTATTTTTCCTTTACTTTAGATTTTAGAACTTGTAGAATTCTGAAAATTTTATGGAAGCTTGGCAATAAACTGTAAATAGGCTATGGAAATATAATTTGAGTGACAATGAGGTGTACAGTATATTTTGAGAATTATGTGTGTGTGTGTGTGTGTGTATGTGTCCTTCACGTAGCCCAACACGGCGAAGACAGCAAGCCTGCAGATGAGGTTTTAACACTGAGCGTCTGGAAGATCCAGATAAACAACTCGACAACAAACAACTCAAATCCTAGTGCCGAATTGGGGATTCTCTGCACTGTCATGACAAGAAACCTGCAGACGGACCCTCGGCCAGATCGAAAGAATACACAAGGACTGGTTTGATGAAAATAACCTGGAAATCAGTGTACTCGTCGATGATAAACGTGCTGCTTTAACTGACTGGCAGATCAACCCTCAGTGTCGGACCAAAGCTGATACTTTCCGCAAGAATAAAGTGGCGGCCCAGCGTGAACTTCGCAAACTAAATAACGACTGGTTTAAAAATAAAGCATGTGAAACACAAAAACTTTACAGATCAGCACAAGATGCGCGAGTTTTTCAATTCCACTAAAACATTTTATGGACCAATCCCTCTGCTCATCCGACGGTAACTCCCTAATTAAACACAAAGAAGGCATCCGATAGCGCTGGAAAGAGCACTAACATTCACTGTTCATCCGAAACACCAATGTGGATGTCCCAACTACCCAGCAGGTCCCTCAGCATCCAGAGTTGACCCACCTAAGCTATCGTCCATCCTTGGATGAAGTAGCTACTGCCATCAAACAGGTGAAAAATATCAAAGCCTCAGGACCTGATGGATTCCCAACTGAGGTGTAGAAAGCAGGAGGACCTCTGCTTACTTGCTGTCTCCACTCTCTCCTAGAGAATATATGCAAAAATGAGGAAATCCCCAAGCTCTTAAACACGCTTCCATCATCAATATTTACAGTATAAGAACAAGGGAGACCAGTCAGACTGGGACAACTACCTTGGGATCTCGCTGCTGTCCGTAGCTGGCCAGATTATCGCTCGAGTCCTCCTAAACAGACGTCTTCTTGAGGCAGAAAATTTCCTCACAGAATCTCAATGTGGCTCTCGTGGCTCCACTGACATGATCTTTGATGCTCCCCAGATACAGGAAAGGTGCCGAGAATAGCGTCGTGACCTGTACATGGCCTTCGACTCGGTCAATAGGGAAGCCCTCTGGCAGACTCTCAGCCGTTTTGGCTCACCCACCAAAATCCATTGCCATTGTGAGGCAGCTCCACGATGGCACGAACGGTTGTGTCCTACACAATGGCAGCCAGTCTGAGTTCTTCTGCATCCAAACTGGGGTAAAACAAAGGTGTGAACTGGCACCAACTCTTCTTCCATTTTCTTGGCTGCCTTCCTTACTCGTACCAGTGCCAATTTAGCCGGAGGGGTAGACATCGAGTACCGGATGAAGGGGCTTTTCAACCTAAGACGACTCTAGGCAAGAACAAAGGTGTCGGCAGCTTCCATTACGACCACCCTTTTCGCTCACACTGAATGCGACCTGCAGGAGATCCTGAAAACTTATGCAGATGCGTATGTACACTTCGGCCTTGAGGTGAATGTATAAAAGACTCAGATTCTCTTTCAGCCTGCCCCTGGTTCAGCCACACCACCATCCATCCAGCTTGACGGTACTACCCTCTCTAATGTTACCCACTTTCGGTATCTCGGCTCAAACCTGTCCACCACTGCGGACATCGATGAAGACATTCAACTTCGGATCAGATGTGCATCTCAAGCCTTTGGCAGACTCCGTACCCGTGTCTTCAGCTGTAGGGAGCTGAATTATCTACAAAGTTGCACATTTAAGAGCAGTGGTCCTCTCCACTCTTATATATGGCAGCGAGACATGGGTCACATGCAGGAGGTACCTCAAGGCACTTGAAAACTTTCACCAACGTAGTCTACTTTCCATCCTCCGAGTTCGCCGGAAAAACGCTACCGCCGCCCCTCCCGCACTAGATGTAGCCCTCCATATGTGCAGCACTGCTGGTCCCGTATCAGCCTCTTTAGTCACCTGAGAACTCACCAACGTAGGTGACATCCTTAATAACTCATATCATTGTATCATATCCGGATAATCGTCATACTCAATTCCGAGTGACAGCAAAGTAATAGTAGTAGCAGTAGTAGTAGTAGTAGTAGTAGTAGTAGTATGTGTGTGTGTCACTACATTTATTTTTTATTTTACCCCCAAAAATATGTATCATTATTAACTATCTCAAGTACTTAACACGCATCATCACCATTGCTTCTCACAGACGCAGTTTGGTACCACAAAGGACAGCTGGCTTATCCATGATAACGACGACGATGATTTGCCGGCAATCACCTTGGACAGTCCTGTCGCGGATCGTGTGAGGCGCTACGGTGTCACCAAACTGGTTGGTCTTGGCCAAGAACACTCAAGGACCACTTCCACTTCGACACTCTCCGCCGGCGTGCTCCTTAGCCCGAGTAACATTTCCGGAACGGAGCCTCACACGTACATCCACCACCAGGCCTTCACCAACCTATCTTATGACAACCAAGCTTATGAGACGTGATCCATGTAACCTACGAATTTCATAATGGAAATATAAAGCGAACTTAATTGAATTTCGATAAGGGATATAATCTCTTAGCTATTTCTTTCTTGCAATGCCTTGCTATGGCTTTTCTCTTCTACAGCAAAAGCTTAAGATAGCTTTCTGATTTAGCTCTGTCACTCAACACAACACCGTCCTATATTATCCATCACTAGCCCGTCCAACCACATAGGCAACTTAACATTATATTCTCCTGTTATTCACGTTCACTGCTGCTTCTTTGAAATTCTGCTGCCTCACGTCTAATGCATCAAGGATTCTGTAGGAGGATGGGTCACTCCCGTGGGTGAACTCGTTCATCCCCGATTTTAGCGCTGCCAAGCGGCTACTAAGCACTGTATAAACAACAGTTAGAAGGCAGAGATTAAAAGAAGGAGTTATGTATATCGGTGAATCATTGTTTTTTTATTATCTTAAGCGCATTATTCTGCCATCTGCAATGGGATACAATTAATCTGCAAATATTAATTGTTCCTACAGCACCAAAAGGAACATAATCTTGTCTGGAGGTTTCTAAAGGATCCAGAACGGTGAATCGTACTTCTGTAACGTTGACTCTTCATTATTTTTATGAGCTCTTTATAAATTTAATGCATTTAGTATTCATAACGATCAATGGCGGGGGTGGGGGGGAAGCTCGCTAAGTTATTATGCAGAACGGACATAAAGAAATTCTTCTTCACACAGAGGTTTATGGTAAGGTCTTAACTCATGCTGTAGAGTCGAGAATAGTACTGGGCTTCAAAATAACTCTAAACAAAAGTATCAAGGACAATGGAGAGATCCTACACAGGTCACTGGCCTCCTTCGCTTGGCATGACCACCTCTAGTGGGTGATCATTAGGTAACTAATCTGAATTCTCTTTGGCACCCGTTCAGTGGCCGCACCATCGAAACCATCCGCTGGAAATTACATAGCCTACACAAAGGACCCTTCAGGAAATAAGTATCCGAGAGCCTTGTCGGCCACCTTTTGGTCAAATTGCCTTACTATTTGCCATTGTTGTATACATCCACAATTAATTGTTTATAATTAAATCTTAATAGTAGTCTATATATATATATATATATATATATATATATATATATATATATATATATATATATATATATATATATATATATATATATATATATATATATAAAATTTTATGACCTTAAAAACATGAGGTCAGGTCATGTTTTTAAGGTCACCCAGTATATTTAAGCCTCTCTCTGTCCATGTAATCCAGTTGCCTCTGAAGATGTCTTGAATAAAGACGAAAGCTAAGGTGCTCCGCTGTTTCCATTTTCCCGTGTGATTTTATCAAGATTTATCTTATCCACGTTTTCATTGTGGATTTACATGAAATATATATATATATATATAGCACACAACGGTTAGTAGGGTCATTACCTAATACCTGACCATTGTGGACCTGGTCTCACCCTCCTCTGTATATATACACCTTGGTTTGTATTTCTCTCTCTAGTCTGTACTCACCCCTGAAGATGTGAATTACACGAAAGCGTCAAACTTTTCTTTTCCTTGTATATTTACATATATATATATATATATATATATATATATATATATATATATATATATATATATATATTTCATTAGCCCAATAAAGCACGCGGACTTCTACATATAATCAACACCTCAACCCGCCAGGATTCGAACCCACGGCCCACAAGCCTATGACTATGACCGGGGAACGCTAACCGCTGGACCACCAGGATACTAAAAGCAGTCCTAGACTTTGTTATATTTCACACAAAGCCTGTTCAACAAGCTTATGGCGCCGTGAACCTCTAATGGGGACCACCCGTATCACTTAGGTGGTCAGAGTAACGTTTTACCAAATCCGGCTTCGAAACACGAGGATCCAAGTATATATTTCATTAGCCCAGTTTATTTCAGTTTGTCGTTAATCATCATCGCCACTCACTTTACATGCTAACCAACACCTGGCGGGGTTGAGGTGTTGATTGTATGTAGAAGTCCGGGTGTGCTTTTATTGGCTAATGAAATATATATGGATCCTCGTTTCTGAAGCCGGATTTAAATAGCATGGACCACCTACGGATAATAATGGGTGGTCCCCATTTGAGGTTCACGGCGCCATAAGCTCGTTGAACAGGCTTTGTGTGAAATATAACAAAGTCTAGGGCTGCTTTTAGTATCCTGGTGGTCCAGCGGTTAGCGTTCCCCGGTCACAGTCATAGGCTTGTGGGCCGTGGGTTCGAATCCTGGCGGGTTGAGGTGTTGATTGTATGTAGAAGTCCGCGTGCTTTATTGGGCTAATGAAATATATATGGATCCTCGTGTTTCGAAGCAGGATTTGGTAAAACGTTACTCTGACCACCTACGTGATACGGGTGGTCCCCATTTGAGGTTCACGGCGCCATAAGCTCGTTGAACAGGCTTTGTGTGAAATATAACAAAGTCTAGGGCTGCTTTAGTATCCTGTATACAGTCATAGGCCGTGGTCTGAATCCCTTTGGCTGCCCAAGACATCAGCTGCCTCAAATATTCTCACAGTACGAGAAAGCTAAGGTACTCCAAGGTTGCTCCCGTGTGATTTTATATATATATATATATATATATATATATATATATATATATATATATATATATATATATATATATATATATCATATATATATATAAGTATATATATATATATATATATATATACTGTATATATACAGTATATATATATATATATATATATATATATATATATATATACAGTTTATATATATATGTATATATATATATATATATATATATATAGACCTTACCTGACTACCGACTGCGGCGGCGTTTTTGAAGATTAGTAGGGTCACTACCTAGTGACCTGATCACTGTGGACTTGATCACACCTTCCTCTACTGTATATATATGCCTTATTATGTGTTTCTCCTTAGTCTGTACTCACCCCTGAAGATGTTAATTACACGAAAGCGCTTGGGAACTTCGTGTTTTCTTTTTTCCTTGTGGTTATCAGCAAATACCTGGATCACGCGCACCTACAGTGATTTACTTGCATATATATATATATATATATATATTTCATTAGCCCAATAAAGCACGCGGACTTCTACATACAATCAACACCTCAACCCACCAGGATTCGAACTCACGGCACACAAGCCTATGACTGTGACCGGGGAACGCTAACCACTGGACCATCAGGATACTAAAAGCAGTCCTAGACTTTGTTATCTTTCACACAAAGCCTGTTCAACGAGCTTATGGCGCCGTGAACCTCTAATGGGGACCACCCGTATCACTTAGGTGGTCAGAGTAACGTTTTACCAAATCCGGTTTGATTATATATATATATATATATATATATATATATATATATATATATATATATATATATATATATATATATATATATATATATATATATATATATATATATATATATATATATATATATATACAGGGCTGCACCCAGAAATTGGGTAAGGGGGGGGGTCCAAATATTTGAGCTAGGTGAGGAGCCACCACGGTAAACTACAGAACACTACCGGTAGAGAAACAATTCTTAATAGAAGAGTTTCAGGGGTATATCTAATTTGCACAAACATAAACTATACATTAATTTATTGAGCGGTGTAGTTGGAAGGCTGGTGTGGGCCCTGTTGCTTGGCCCTTTTTTTCCACCTGACACGCCTGGTGTGTACAATCAAAGACAAAAGTCGTGTCGCGGTTTTGTTCGAAGATTAAATATAACTCTTGAAACATCATGAGAGCTCCCTACCACAAGGCAGAGCGCACCAAAAGTTTAGCCCTTCGGCATAAGTTTTCACCAAATTTCACGACACGACTTTTGTCTTTCATATACAGTCTCACCCAAAAGTTCGTTAACTCTCCCAGCCAGCTATTGCTGTACTGCCTGCTTTAGATGTTTGAAACTGTCTTAGTACCAACCAGAACATGAAACTTTTACAAATGAATCAAAGGGATCGAAGTAACAGAGTCAAGTTCATACATCTGGAGCAGACAGTGCAGCAATAGCTGGATGGGAGAGTTAACGAACTTTTGGGTGAGACTGTACCTCACTCTTGATACTGCCAGGAGGAGATGGTAGGTCCTCCCGGTAGAGGTCAACCAGTTCTTGTATTCTTCTGCTGCCCTCTGCTGATGTCAGGGTTGCCGAGATGGATGGGATGACACTGAGTCAATGGAAGGCCTTCTGGTGCAGGGGGTTGAACCTCACCTCCATCTCTGCCAAGAGATGGTCTAGGAGTGGAATGGCCACAGTTCTCCAGTAGTATTCAGCTGGTCCATCAGCTGATGTGTTGTCTCGGTGTCGTTGGAGTTTGACGAAACCATTCAGTGTAGTGATCATCCATGTTGTTTTGGATGTCTTTAGTCCTGCTTTCACACAGTTAACTTCTCTGCTGGCCTCAACTATTTCCTTGGCCTGTGGTTAAAGGCGTTAAAGGCTAGTGGTCACACCTTTCAGGTAGCCTCGTGCATTGTTGGTGATCACCAGGGACACAATGAAGTCTCTGCTGGTGTTGGCGAGTAGCAGGGCCTGGGCATCAGTCAGTGAGTCTGTAGACCAGCTGCCAGGAACACCCTCCACAATGTCCTCCATGCAGGCCACCACCGAGGGATGTAACTCCACAAGGGTTTCTAGGGCATTTAGGCGATGCACTCAACGTGTATGACATATTTTTTAGCTTGTGTTTCCTTGAATCAGGTTTGGTCTTCAGGACAGCTGCCTCCACGTTCGGGATGCACTTCAATATAAGTTGAACGCCTGTCCACGGTACCATCATGTTCCGGATACTGGTGATCTGGATGGATTTAACAACAGCCACGTTGAAGGCATGTGTTGAGCAGTGCTGGTAGAAAGCAGAGTGGTTGGTCTCCTTTATGATAGCTGCTGCCCCCTTGGAGCTGCCAGCCACGTTGCTAGCTCCGTCAAAGGCCTGACCTCTAAGGTTATTGATGTAAGGTCCACACCCTGTGATGCTGTTTGTCACCTTATCTGCAGTAAATCTGCCAGTTACCTCATTGTCACACTCCAGAAAGTCCACCAGGTCTTCTCTGATGTCGTCATTAGGGTCCACATACCTCAACACAATGCTGAGCTGCTCCTTGCAGGCAGAGTCAGTGATCTCAGTAGTTATGATAGAGAAAAACTTGTTTGTCTTCACTTTCTGAAAGATAATGTCACGTATCTGTTCTCCACAAATGTGAATCAACTGGTTATGGATATTCCAAGATGTGAACAGAGCATTCTTGGCAGCTGTGCTTAGGTGCATACCTAGAACCCTGTCTCCAGTTTTAACAAGGAAGTCAAGGAGGGCCAGAAAGTTGACATGATTGGCAGTCCCATCATTGGCAACGTCCTTGGTATTATCTCTGTGACCTCGCAGATA